TGAATTTTGAACCGATCGAACATTTCGAATGTATCGGACGTCTAACAGGTCCAGATACAGTCAGTATGCTATGTAGTATGTAGTGGAGCGAGGCCGTCTAGCTTATACACACCTGACCACATTTATGGCTGAATCTTGATGTATATGAGACACAATTACGCCCGTAAATAAGTTAAAAAAGTCCGAGTGCGAGTATGACCTAAGGGCACGCTCACACTGTGGTGCAAATCCACATAATCCCCAAAATCCCAAAAATCCCAAAAATCCCCAAAATCCCCAAAATCCCCCAAAAATAGTCACACTGCAGTACCAAATCCACATAATCCCCAAAAAATAGTGTCGAGGGGCAGTCACACCCAGTTCCCATTTGTACAAACTACGCATTCGTAAACCCCCTCTTGTCAGAAGCCTGTGGGGCCGTCACACCCCTTTAGTACCACAAATTTCAAACGCCGCAGCACTAAAGGGGTTTGGAATTTGGGATAAGGGGATTTGCGGCAACCTCGGGAGGTTACTGCAAATTCCTTAATTCTTTTTTTAATTAACTTTCAAAAATGATAGAAAATTCTTATATCATAATGAAGATATTGGTGTGATAGCAATTGGGGGAAAAGTAGGGGGGGGGAAAACAAAAAATACAAAAAATTGGGTGGGGCCCGTGGGGGGGGAAAGATGTGCCACGTGTGACTGGCTTCCTCCCAAACTCCACACCGGGTGAGCTGCCCTGACCGGGAAATGGGTAATTTGGGGACAGTGTGTGACCGGCGCCACACTATTTTGGAATATTTCCCACACTATTTTGGAATATTTCCCCGAATCAGGCCGTACTATTATTTTAGATTATACGGATTTGCTACCACAGTGTGAGCGTGCCCTAAAGCCATGTGGCACGTGTATATAGTATCTATCTGAATCTAGAAAGGGATTTGTAATATTTAGTCTTGTATCAATTTTTTTATTTTTATTTTATTTTTTTATTTTATTTTTTTTTCACGGTTCATGCTAATCTTCTCTGTATCATTCCAATTTTCATGGGTGACACTGTCCCGAAGGACAATTTTCAATTTTATAATATTTATATGTTTGTGTGAGGTGCTGCGAGCTTGTTATGTGAAGTGTGCAATTATGTCAAGTCAACTGAATTGTCGGTGTTTTTTTTTGTTTTTTTTTTTTCCCCCTGTTACGTAAAGCGTTCAATTGTGTAGATTCAACAAAATTGTCGGGGAAAAAAAAAAAAAAAAAAAAGTCGGTCCCCCCCCCCCCCCTCTTCTTATGTTTTGTCTTTACCTGTCCTTTTGTCTTATATGAAATGACAGATCGTCGACTCCATAACTGCTTTATTCCGAGTGGACTTTACAGGAAGAGGAGAGCTCGCAGAGCGTCAGGTGGGGCAATTACTGTGCGATGATGATGACTATGGTTTCTCTTTTTTTTTTTTGAAATTTAAATAAAGGGTGAAAAAAGAAGTTATGGACACAGCCATAACAGTGAATGAATGAGAGAATGGGCCTGCACCTGAAGCCTAAAACTGGTCCGATTCGTTTTGAAATGTTGGATCAGTTCAAAATTTCAAATGTATCTGGTCTTCTCCACATGCATGTCTAGTGTTGTGCAGCGGAGCGAAGACCAATGAATGAACAAGTTTGAAAACTGACTAAATTCACATGTCACACGTGACGCCTGGTACACGAGCGTAATTCGGTAGCTGATTTCTTTCTTTCTTTCTTTCTTTCTTTCTTCCTTTCTTCCTCTCTTTTTTATCAGTTGCTGATTATATCATTATAATCATACTAACAAAATTTTCTTCCAACAACGTCCTACCTTCTTCACCCAAATACAACGTACGTTCATTATTGCTGTATTTAGACCGAAAGATACGCCAAATACAGCTATAGTGACCGTACGTTGTATTCGGGTGAAGAAGGTAGTTTCGACGCCAGCACCACGTATCGAGTCCTTGTCAAATGAAACCAAGAAATATCCTTTCTTTTTTTTCTTTTTTTTTTTTCTCCCAAGAAATATCCTCTTTTTTTTCTTTTTTTTTTTCTTCTCCCAAGAAATATCCTTTCTTTTTTTTCTTTGTTTTTTTTCCTTCCCCCCCCCTTCCTCCCTCCTCCCCCCTCCCCCCTCAACTTGCATGTTGCATTCATGGAAACAGCTTGTCTTATGAAATGACAGATCATGAAGTCAAAGATCGTTATTCTGAGTGCATTTTCAGGGACCCCAGGAATCACCTGGCAGGCTGGCACCTACCCATATGGTGGGGCCATATCCTTCATTTCTGCCCCTAGATTTGCAGAGATCGATGGTCAGGAATCAAGTATATTTCCTAAAGTGTGACTTGGTTTCAGAAAGAGGAGGAGAGCTCGCTGAGCGTCAGGTGCAACAACTACTGGGCGAGCCTGGCGAGGTGCCACTGGCAAGGAGGATTGGATAAAGTTCCTGCATCTGGATGTGTTTTATGCAGAGATGCAGAAAAAAAGCAGTGTAATTCCGATTTTCTGCCCCTGGCAACCCCTGGGGGAACAAACACGTCCAGTTTCGGGTGTAGAATTCAATCCTCCTTGCTAGTCGGACCTCTGCCCTGCTGTGTGACGATGACCTTGGTTTCTGTTTTTTGTTTTTTTGAAGTAAACGAAAAAGAGGTGGAAGCTGTTATGGACACAGCCATGTCAGACGAAGAATGCAATTCATAAGCTTGTTGGGCCTCCACTCCACTACTCGACATTCTAAATGCATCTGGACCTGACAGTGAGCGTCATACATTCAAAACGTTGGATCAGTGCAAAATTGCAAATGTACCAGCTCCCGCATCGTGTGCAGATACAATAGCGCATGTTGTGTAGTGCAGCGAGGCCCTTAAATATGCTCTAGTAAAGTTGTTGCTAAAATTCACATGCATGAAATGAAGGAATACAGATTCATAGAGTATTGGGCATGGTTTCACTGAGACGAGTTATTTTTTGAGCAGTTTTTGGCCGTCGATTTTATTTATATCAATGGCGAAGAGAGAGCTACTTTCTCCCCCCGAATACAATGGACGATCATTATAGCTGTATTTGGGGTATCTTTCAGTCTAAATACAGCTATAATGACCATATGTTGTATTCGGGGGAAGAAGGTAGGTTGGTTGCCCAGGAATCATTGTTTGCAGAGTTATAGGTCGTTGCTTCGCCGCTCGCCAAATGTGCCAAATGGCAAGTGTATAATCGGTTAAAAAGTGGAAAGATGCGCTTGCCGTCCTTTGCCTTTTCACATCAAATATGCAGAGCGGTAGAGCGAGGTCCATAGCCTGATCCAGCGATCCAGTGACAACCTAGCCTCATTCGGTGAAGTTTCGTTTGGGAAGAGGACAAACTAGCCTCTTTGGGAAAAGGACAATTCAGTCTCTTTGGGACGATCCAGTGACAACCTAGCCTCTTGGGAAAAGGACAATTCAGTCTCTTTGGGACAACCACACCAGTGACCAATCCAACTGGCCCCTCTTACCTGCCTAAGATCCCCATTGCTGCCGCGTTACGTCCCGGAAAGCCAAATGTTGTCCATGTACAGGTTTGGGGTTTTCCTAGTGCACGTGTAGAAATTGCAGGATGATGACTGTCCCCTAGAAGTCCACTAGAAGCCCAATTACCATTTGTGTGTTCGCCGATTTCATTAATTTTGAGCCTGCGTGTGCAGAACGGGCCCAAGTTTCTGTACCAGTCCCAAGGTACAAGATACTCTCTTTAGTAATATATCTCCTTGGTACTACTGTCTTCACCGAAATATAATGCCCAGTTATTATGGCTGTATTTGGACAACTTCCAGTCCATTGATACAGCGATAATGGCTGGGCGTGCTATTCCGGTGAAGAGAGTAGGCTGATGTCAGAGGGACCAGTATCAGTATCGTGGTTTCGGGACTGGAACCACGGCACCAGAACGAGTGTATTGGTTCCGAGACTAGTACCAGGCTGGGACTCGAGTCGGTTTCTTGGTTCTAGTCTCAGTACCAGTACCAGTTCCATCTGAGAGAGTCCACGCCAAACTGACAGGCACTCTGCTGGTTCTGGTTAGCGGTCAGATCATCTCAGATGTGCCCTAAGGAAATCTGAACACAATGTTCCTCTTGGTAAATCCAGATGAAACGCGCTATCTGTGTGTGTGTGGAAACGGTAAGATAGAGCGGCCGGGAAGAGAGAGAGAGAGAGAGAGCATTGTTGAGGGTTTCAAAAAAAACACTCAAATTGACCGTGGATGCCACAAGGTGCATGTTTTCATATTATTTGAATTTGATTCTAGTTTTGAAGGTGGGATTAGAGCACTGAGTTATCACATCTCCATGTGGCCGGAAAACTGCACCAAATACAGTTACAGAAAAAAAAGTGTGGCAGCCAGAAAGAAAAAAAGTGCGCCGCTGGCGCCATGCTTTGTTGGAACGCCAACACGGCGCTTTTGTTACAGTTTTGGCTGCTTGCTGCCGCCAGCCATTTTGGTCCGGTTGCCGTCAGCCTCCGATTTTTTCGGAGTCAATCGTGATTGTCAAGTTGGCTGGATCCGTGCACTGGCGGTGTTCACCACAACTCGGTGGCCGCCGCATGAAGTATTATGAATTTACAAAATAATAAAATATTATCACAGTTTGCACGGAATTATGAACTCCATCCTATCCTATGCAACTACTACCTTTCGCCGCCAACGGAGGCTGATGCATTTGTCTACTGCCGCAAGCTTCGCATGAACAGTGCTACCCCGGCAGCTACCAGACCATAATGGCTGGCAGCACCAGCCGGAAAATGGAAGAAAACGCACCCTTTGACTGTTGTCTGATTCTTTTTAATTTGGGGGATGCAGCAGAAAATCCGTTTTCGGAACGAGAGACCCAGAGGTCGTTGTGGTTTTAACTTTTAAGTCAGTAGCTTAAGTGGTTAGTAACTGGATTGTATTCTCACTGTTCCTCCTTTGATAGCGTACGGCTCAATAGTAAAAACAAAAAAAAAGGCTCAAATTGAATAGTCTAGTCGGCACTTTTACTTTTACCCAGTGCATGCCGCACCGACACCTATTGGCTATATTCTCTGGGTAGTGTAAATACTAAATAGTAAATACTAAATTCTTGTCGATGTGTCCGTGCGGCATGCACTTTTACTGGTTTTCTAATTCCTATGTGTGTGCAGCAAAAGCTGGCCGGAATGTTGTCAAAGCTGACAAAAATTGCAGAGGAGTTCAACGTGGCAGTGTACATAACAAATCAAGGTACAGTGTCGCATCAAATTGTGATTACTTTTTCCATTGTTATCATTCTTTGCCTTCTCCTGCACCTCGTCTGCTTCTGTTCTCTCTCTCTCTCTCTCTCTCTCTCTCTCTCTCTTTTTCTGTTCCGTTTACCAGCCTGAATGATTTGAGCTGTGTGCACGCAAGCGTGTGTCACGGTGTGTGCGCACACGTGCACAGTGTCACTTTTGGTTCTCCGTCTCGTTCTATTTGTTTGTTTGTTTGCTTTTAAGTTTTAACCGACATACAGATGGCTATTTGCTTTGTCCGTCACAGCTCACTCACATATCATGATCACAGATATTTCTGGATGGGTATAAATACTATAAATTTGAACCGTTTCTCTCATCCCAGCGCAGGGGCGGTGCTAATCAGTCTTTTTCTGTTCTTCCTATTGCCTTTTTGAAGTTTTTGCTGGTTTTAACTTTTTGTCCATTTTTCAAGTCTGTTGTGTGATATATGAGCAGCCCTCCCTTGCGATAATTGTATTGGGATTCGGAAGTTACTCGATAAACGAGCATAAAGTGCGTTAACGACGACTCAGACCTTATTGGCCAGTGATCAGTGAATCATCATGTGGCGACTCCACACACTTGGAAAGAAGATGGGAGGTGGGAAAGAGAAGAAAGATCACACAGAGGTTGATACAGTCTATTGACTTGGTGGCCCAGGGGAGCATCGCCTGCTGGAAAGCAGGTCCAGCGTCCCATTGATATATTATACATAGTACATATTTAAATATTTTAGCTATACCGGGCCCATGACCCAGCTTCGGCTTCAGAAAACAAGAGCATGTTTGTGACTGCGCTACAGGGGGCAGCAGCCCCATTACTATGTAGCAGACACATCCTCTTCAACCTTCCAGGCTGCCAAATTTTGACAAAAGTCACGTCTTTCCGGTGAGCCCAGGTCTACCAGTCAGGAGTTGAATAGAGAGGGTTTTTTTTTTTTTTTTTTTTTTTTTTTTTTGAGAGAGAGGGCTTTAGAAAGGTTTTTAACTTTTTTATGTTCAAGCTAAGCTGAGTATTGCTCTCAGCACTCCAGGGGCCAAGTCCCACATAGCAGCGTTGAGTTTTCTCAACGCCCGAATCTGGATGTGTTTCTGCAGATGGGGGGTTGAGGGAACTCGATGCTATTTTTTCTGCACACCTCTGCAAACACGTCCAGATTCAGGCATTAAGGAAACTCTACGCTGCTAGTGGGACTTGGCTCGTCGTTGAATTGTGAGGTCCCTGGCCTTAAATTACCTTTTCAATACCAAATAAGGTATCCTTGGCAGTACCACTTTTCTTGTCAGCCGCCTCCGTTTTTATTTTATTTTTTTAAAGGTATCCTTGGCTGTTCTTGTCGTTTGCGTCCGTAACACTTTTCTTGTCAGCTGCCTCCGTTTAAGGAAAAAAAAAAAAAGGTATCCTTGGCTGTTCTTGTCGTCTGCGTCCGTACCACTTTTCTTGTCAGCTGCCTCCGTTCACAAAAAAAAAAAAAAAAAAAAAAAATCCTGGCATGTTCAGGTGAAATGTCGACTGTTGGTATTTGTAACAGCCAGTGGCAATCTGTGTTGATTTGTGAATGTGATGACCGATTGTCTGTGGCATCGGTCAGAAACACGTGTCGGGAAGCTGCCAGAGGAAGGTCGAATGTGCTGAGCTGGATCCGCAGCGACATAGCTGCGTGGTTTTGTCGATCGACCTTCGATGTACTAAATGTTTATCTAAGTTGAAGACCTTGACTACTTCTTGGCTATGGTGCTTTCTCCCACCTATTACGAGTGACGTCGCGTTTATGCATGGAGTTCCGTGTTGGTTGAGAATTTTTTTATTTTTTATTTTTATTTTTATTTTTTTTGTGTGTGTGTGTTGGTTGAGAATCTTGAGATACTCATGGTTGACCATTCACAACACAACAAAAAATGTGGTGTGTTTGAAGTTTCAACTGACAGTGGCAATCTGACTGCACTGACCGTAGTCTTTTTTTTTTTTTTTTTTTTTTTTTTTTTTTTTTTGGCCCACCCGGCCCTCCTGGCTGAATGTGGTGCAGGACCAAGTGTAATCTTCTCCGTGTCGTTCCAATTTTGATGACCCTGCATGTTTATGGTACATGGTTTAATTTTTTAATCGTTGCAGTCATTGCGGATCCTGGTGGGATGTGCATGGGAGACCCGAAGAAGCCGGCTGGTGGCCACGTTCTCGCGCATGCCTCCACAATCCGGTTGATGATGAAGAAGGGACGGGGAGAACAGCGAATTTGTAAAATTTATGACAGCCCCGACCTTCCTGAGAGCGAAGCAATATCCTTTCGATGTCGTAGAATCGAACCCAGCTGTGAGTAACTGTAAACCAACCACCACCTTCAGGATCCTTCCTCCGAAACTTCCGTCTGCATACAAGGAAGCTGCGAAAAAACTTCAAAAAAGGCTCGGCCTGGCGAACCCCTGGGGGGGTATCCAGGGGGTGCACAGCTTTGGAGTCATATACCTTCCTCCCTCAGGAGTGTTCTACCATCTTCACCCGAAAATAATGCCCGGGGGTTGTATTTGGTCAAATTGGTGGTAACTTCGCAGGGGCCCTGAATTATTAAAAAAAATAAAATAAAAAAAAATCAGTAAAATTTTACTAAAGAAAAAGGTTGTCTAGAATTGCAATGCAAGTTATGCGACCAACTTCTGACTGACAGTCACTTCATAAATTAATATAAAATAATATAAATTAATATAAATTTTGGGAAACTGGTTAAAGCGAGATAAACAACCACAAAAAAATCTACAATTCCTAGCAGTAGTCCGCAGCGAGATGGACGCAGCCACGAAGTGGGAGACTGGAGCAAACAAAAGCAAACAAAAGCAAACAAAAAATCAAACCAAAACATACCCCTTGAACCTCTTTCAACCGCCTTTAATACCCATGTATACCCCCGTTCCCCCCCTTTAGTAAAACCCAGGTATACTCCCTCTACAAGGCATTCTGCCCATGGCACATTCGAACACAACGCCCAGCACATTTGAATACAATGCCCAGCTCATTCGAATACAACGCCTCAACGTTCTATTCGAATATATCGCCTGGGCGTTATATTGGAAGGGGCATTCAATTAAAAAAAAATACGAGTACAAAGTACTAAACTTTCTAGAAACTACTCTTTTTTTTTTTTAAGGTGAGTTGAATATAACGCGTGGGCGTTAATTTTGGGTGAAGACGGTAGTGTGCTCACCTGAATACAACGAGCTGTTTGGGATCCTCAGAGACTTTACGCAACGCATCTCACTTGTTTCATTAATGAGACGGAAAGAAAGAAAGAAAGAAAGAAAGCGGCACGCCACTCACTTTGCGTCTACTTTCAATTTTCCTAATTTTCTGGATTGATCGATGCGGAGGCTTTCTTTTACGTATGTATTGTATGGGCGGTCTTGTGAAGTTCAAACTCTTACCGAGGGTAGAACACAAAGTAAGATAAACGATTGATTATATAATCGAGCAAAGAAGGAAAGAAAACTTATGCTCCGTGTATTTAGCGGTATCCGCAAATACAGTCAAATTCTTACGCGCTTTCGCGCCTTTGTGGGATTCAGACGCGAAGCGTCTGGTCTTCGAGCCGTAAAGTTGCCACCGCATACTCGAAAGATGTTGTGGACAAGGAAAGGTACTCCTTTCGACACATGGGTAATATGGGTTTTGTCCACTATAATTGTATTGGGACGACTGTGAGTCTAGATACAGAAATAATGACCGTAGGTTGTGTTCAGGTGAACACAGTAGTGTGAGTGTGTGCCCTCAGCAAAGCGAATGAGTGGACGAGGCAGAAGAGCGATGTTGAAGTGATCGGTCAGGTGGATGATTGCTCGAGTTATCTGCTTGCAGCCTTGCACGTTGTCTTTCACGCCCGACAATGGGTCATGGGTCACATTCTGTGCTTCTTCTTGCCCACATGAAGTGTGCTTCACAGTCTATAGCTCCTCAGGATTATCATTACTGTTCATATCATGCATAAGTTATGTTCATAGTATTTTTAACTATTTTAAACAAGGAGTGTACTTTTATTTATTAACAAAAAAAAAAAAAAGCGGAGTTCCACTACACGACAGTGGTGGTCTGTCACGAGAAAAGCATCATGGACGAGTTGTTGGTCCTGCATAACCGAACTGCAACCAAGCTTGTGTCACACTGGCACATGGAACTGGGGTGTGTCTGGAGCCAACCCGATACAAACATACAATACGATCGGGCGTCACGGACTTCACATCTCACAGCAAAACCACCCGATGTTGTCGATGCCAACTACACCGGCGCTCGACCTTTCTGTCCTGCTGCTCAGGCCAAGAGGAGATCACACTCCCAAGTCACTCTTCTTTACCTAGTTCGACCGCCAATAGGACCCAGACGAGAGCGCTCCGAGTCTTACAAAACCGCAGCTCGGAACCTAGGCCCGAGACCGACTAATATCCATCCAGGTCCAATCCTTTCCCATCTGTACCGAGGACTGCTGGTACCAAGCCTTTACTGCACCGCCTTCTTACGGTAAATCCGTGGCGGCCAAAGGATGCCCAAGGGTAGAGCAGAAACGGCCTGTCACCCAAAGAAAAGAAAAATTAAAATAAAGTGACCCTGATACTGAAAAGAGCAGATTCAAAAATGCCCTCCCTTTCACGCCAATCAGCCTTTTCCATTAGTTCAGCCAATGCTCAAGCGTCAGTCCTGAAGTGAAACATTGGACCAAATGGCAGCCATGGAACCAAACTGGAACCAACAGGGCAGTCATGGAACCAAACTGGAACCAACAGGGCAGTCATGGAACCAAACTGGAACCAAACTGGAACCAACAGAGCAGTCATGGAACCAAACTGGAACCAAACTGGAATGATACTGCAACCGATCTGGCAGCCATGGAACCAAATTCGAACCAACCTGGAACCAACCTGGAAGCCATTGAACCAACTTGGAACCAGGACTCCTTGAGCTGGAATATGGGACCGAAGTGGAACCAAGCTTGAGCCTCACACTGAGCACCACACTGTTGTGCGGCAGCCAACTCAGGAGTCCTGATTTGATATGCCGACTGCTGCTGGAAACCTCCTGTGCCCCGTGGAACCAAATTCGAACCAACCTGGAACCAACCTGGCAGCCATTGAACCAACCTGGAACTGGGACTTCTTGAGCTGGAATACGGGACCGAAGTGGAACCAAGCTTGAGCCTCACTCTGAGCGCCACACTGTTGTGCGGCAGCCAACTCAGGAGTCCTGATTTGATATGCCAACTGCTGCTGGAAACCTCCTGTGCCCTCTGCTGTTCTATTTTTAGAACATCACACACTGCAGTGGTTAATGCTGAACTGCATATGATTTCTGTAATGTGTATCTTTTTTCTCATGAATATGATAACACCTGCAATCGAAATAGTAAGTACAAACTCCGTTGAAACGTCTTGCAGCACTTTTTCTCATGAATATGATAACACCTGCAATCGAAATAGTAAGTACAAACTCCGTTGAAACGTCTTGCAGCACTTATATTGCCTCGGATCCTTCCGTGTCAGCACACGGGTTCGAACCGGTACCACCATCAACCGCAAGAGGCGAGCACTGTCACCACTGCAGCCATGATGCATCTGTACAGAGGCAGCGACATACACAGAGTAACAGTCAGCTGCAGAAGGCAATGGGCGGCCTCACTCCACAGTCAAACAGCTAGGTAGGTCGAAGGCTTGCTCGACCTGTGGCACGAAGAAGGTTGCTAAAGCGCTGAGGGTACAAGTTAGTGCACTTAGTTGGACTTGTATGCAGGCTGGTCGACCTCGCACAAGGATGTTTTTTTTTGTTGTTCCATTGGTAGGTACTAGGCTTTACTTTCGTTTTTGCTATGGGGGTCCTGTGGCAGCCAGCAACCTTGTCTTTTGGACCCCCAGTTAACTTTCACATCTGCAGCCAGCGAGAAGAGGTGTATCACCTGAGTCACGGCTTGTACCTTGACCGATGCATATCACTCTTCTACCGCTATGAATTTTTTTTTATTTTTTTTTATATTTGGACCATTTCTCGATGTATGCGTGTCATCCTTGCGCAGGGGCCATGCTAATCTTCTCTTTCTCTGTACTTTCAATTTTAACGGATGTCCCGAAAGACCTACCACTATGAATTTTCAATTTTGTCGATTTCACTCCTGCGTCTGCCCTTAGGCCTTGATGGGGTCTGTCGAGGGTGGATCTATTTTCTGGCCTGAGGGGACGAGGCAGAAGTGCGATCCTGGGGAATCCATTTTTTTTTCATTTTTTTCATCTCATTCCGCCAGTTATTTGGTTTGCACATTGTGTACTCCGCGAGAGTAAAGCCTCAATATGATGTGCTGTCTTAAGGGCTCCAGTCCTGCTGGTCATCCTGGTCGAGGAAGGCCAACAAGCCACCTATTGTAATAGGAACCTTGTAAAAATAAGTGAAAAAAAAAAAGGGCAGGAAAAAAAAAAGGGCAGTTCACCCTGCCGTCGTGTCATGCCCGACTGTTCAGCTGAGCTTTAGCATCACGATGGAATACCTCTTCTGATATCAGTGAAGTCATCGGATGTACACAGAAACACATGCACAAACAACCTATAAATGGCACTATCTTGACCCGGCGGCCTGGCCGTGCAAGGACCAAAGAAGGACCCAGTCAACACACACACACACACACACACACAATGGCACTATCTTGACCCGGCGGCCTGGCCGTGCAAGGACCAAAGAAGGACCCAGTCAACACACACACACACACACACACACANNNNAAAAAAAAAAAAAAGTTATGCAGAAAAATAAACTGAACAACTTTTGCCTGAGGGTTACATCGAAATTCTTTACCAAATGATCCAAATCTATTTATTTTTATTTTTATTCTTTTGGCCCGGCCGGGCAAGTGGTCCTGGGCCACTCTGGTAGCGTAGCACGCTATTGTGTTTTCAACTTTTCATTGCAATATTCATGTGCCTGATTTAAATGATTTTTGCATGTACCACGGTTCCATGGCTCCACGTTTTTCTCTTTTTAATCTCCATCTCTCTCTCTCTCTCTCTCTCTAGTCTTGGAAGAGCCTTCAATATTACATAAATGCATAACACTTAAACTATGAATTAGATTCAATACTGGCATTTTTATTGAAATCCTTCGGCCTTTTAAAAAGAATAGAAGTCTAGCACCCTCAAGTTGTGCCAAATAGTCAGTGCATGTTTGTATGCAGTGCCTGTGACGCTGTATTGGTGTTGTTGATTATTGCATTTTAGGCATTCAAGTGAGTCACTCTTTTTTGTTTAATCCCCTTTTTTTCCCGTTTTATCTTTTTGCCAAGTTTTTGCCTTTTTTTAATATTTTTTGCCTTTTCCTTCCTTTCCTTGAGCTCTTTGTGCTTGGTACCTTGTCCTTGACACATTCACACACCTTCCAGCTCTCCAATGGGGGCGTCATCGATGCGAGAGACTAAGGAGGAGGATACATCGACTTTGGAGAAGGGGCTTGCGGAGCCCTTCTTTCTGTTTTTCTGTTCGTCAAACTTCTTCAACTGGACCTGCCCGCTTTCTTGTTCGTTGAAGTTTCTCTTTATTATCGATTGAACTTCCGCTTTATTGCCCGTTAGTGACTGGTGAAGTATGCTGCCCTCATCATCAGTGTGCGCTTTCTAGTGTCTCTCATATAGTGCATAGATTGCAAAGCCAATTGACTGGTGGAGGATGCTACCCTCATCATCAGTGTGTGCTTTCTTGTCTCTCCCATGTAGTGCGTAGATTGCAAAGCCAATTCATTCATATGTTTCAATGAACGTTTCGCCAGGATTGTGGTCTGGCTTAATGAAGATACACTGTCATACACATTATCTCTTTTTCCGTTCTTTTTTCTCTCTTTTTCCGTTCGTTTTTCTCTCTTTTCCCGTTCGTTTTTCTCTTTTTGCGTTCTTTTTTCTCTTTTTGTGTTCTTTGTGTTCTTTCACCACGTGCAGATCTCATAAATTTTTTTAAAATCAGTACTGATTTTTCATTCGTTTGTTTTCGACCTCTGTTTCAAAATCAGTATAGTTGAAGATACTCGTCATCAGTACTTCATTAAGATATGCACTCTCTCTTTTTCTGTTCTTTCATTTCTTCGTTCTAGATTTCTCCTTTCTTGCTAATCTTCCTTCCTAGCTCTCTCTCTCTCTCTCTCTCTCTCTCTCTCTCTCTCTCTCTCTCTAGGGAGAGAACTTTGTCTTGTTCCTCTGGGCTTTGCTGTTTGAAGTTCCAGTTTCACTCTTCTCTCTCTCTCTCTCTCTCTCTCTCTCTCTCTCTCTCTCTCTCTGGAGAGAACTTTGTCTTGTTCCTCTGGGCTTTGTCCAACTCCCACAGCACATTGAAATTGCAAGAGCAAAAGAGATTTCGTCAAAGTGTACACGAGGCTCGGCGCAACAGAAATTTCGTCAAAGCATGAAAGAGGCTCTCAGCATTTCATCGCCCTGAATTAGAGGGTCAGTCTCCACAGGACAGCACCGGGAAGCACATGACAGTGATTGCAGACGAGGCCGCAACTACAGAATCAGCCTTGTGCCCATGCATGCTGTAGATTCTGAAGCTCTCGTGGGTTGTGGAACTTGAAGAGAAGGCAGGGCGTGCTTTGATTGAAAAGGCCCTGAGTAATGAGCACGGTATGCGACAGTCGGGTGCGACAAGAGGCGGGGGGTGTAGAGAACCCAAGGGTGGTCTAATTTTGAGGCTCTGAGCTATACAGGAAAGCTATGGGAAAGTTAAATCGATGTTCTAAGTTTTAATTTTTCAAGGTTGAGGATGTAGAGAGAGGGGAGAAGGGAGTTGTGTAACCTCTGTTTCTTCGTATTAATTCATTTCACAGATACTGTAGCTTCCGGCAGTAGTGGAGTGGAGCTTCCGTGCAGTTACTGTGGAGTTACTTTGGAGTTACGGTGGTGGAATGTAGGGGAGTGGAACGAGTTTCATCATGGATGACCACCGTCTGCTTCTTCTTCTTGAATGAAACATTTTGTCTTTGACTTTTTGTTTTCGTTTTTTCGTTCTCCGTATCATTCCTATTCGAACCGACATACCAAAGGGTAAGTTGTATTGTCGTTCTTTCTGTTTCTCTTTTATCTGTTTGTCATTTTATTCTAACTGAGGTACCAAAGGATAGGTGGTCTTGTTCTTCTTTCTATTCCTCTTTTTTTTTTTTTTTTTTTTTCACAAGATACGACTGGATGCATGCTATAACCGAGTCTTCATGTCAGGGGTTGCATCAATGCGAGCCAAGTCGACACATTTGCACTCCCTTTTCCAAGGTTTCGCACATGTCATGTGCATTTATGGGTCAGTTTCTGCAAGCCGAACTGCTTGTTAGCAGCGTAGGACGTACCTGGTCGAGAACCTGGTCCTCATTTTAGAGAAGCTGTCCACTATATTAGAAGATTGTGGTATGAAGTCCAAAGATCCAATATTAAATTCCCCCTAGGTGGGAGTTGTCTCTATGTCGTAGAATGAAATCTCGTTGTGCAGATGCATAGACCCCTCGCCGATTACTGATGAGATTGTCAGTGCTTTCCTATTACTAGGTCCCTTTCGGGTTAGGCAGGTACTATGGGTCCTCTGACTTCCAATAGGTACATCAAACAAACCAGTTGGATCTCGCCGGTATCACCTATAGGCTTTAACGTTGTAAGTTGTTGTTTAGTCACCTGTCCCCCAATCAATATCAATAGATGGGTAATCAACTCCCATACGGTCAGAATCCACTAACAAAGTGGATGTTGCACCCAACATGCACCCAACAACAGTTTAATTCATAACCCCTGCGTAAGCCCTCTCAAGGGTCCCTCCAGGAGTGGGCCTACGCATCGCATTGGGACTCCCCATCTCACCCAGCATTAGTGGTACGAGGTTGAAACCCGATGTTAATTGTTTTAATTGTGGTTGAATGAACCCCCAATAGGGGTGTTGATTGCTTGTTGTTCAGGATGCTGAGAAGGTGCAGAGGCAGAATCCATATCGACATATATATTGTCAAACAGAACTGCCAGGTAAACTGTAGGCAGAGAGGGAGAAGGGGATAACGAGAAGGGGATAACACACCAGGCGTGCTGAACAATATATTGACATATATATTGTCAAACAGAGCTGTCAGGTAAACTGCAGGTTTGTTTTGTGGGATAAGATCCATGACGTTTCTTCGTTTCGTGGGATAAAGATCCATGGAGAGAACGCAAACTCTCTGGCAGATGTGCGGATCTAATACCTCTTCTTGCAGATCCAAAATTCTTAATATATATCGCTATGAGACTATCAAGAGTAAGCCTGGTCTGGTCACCTGGGCCCTGGAAAAGCGCGAAGCACTCTTGATGGACTCTTGATGGTCTTGTAGCAATATATTAAGGAGACTTACAAAAGAATGGTTTACTCACTAAGCAACTCTTGTGTCTACAAAATAATCTATTGCGTGCTTTATGAACTTGCTCGATTGCCCTTCACTAACCTCTGGAATTGCTAACTCTCCATTCTGCTTTCAGTCTGCTCCTCATCTTTGAGGTGTTCTACTTTTCTCGCGCTATATGTTCTGGAATTGCAAACTCTCCATTCAGCTTTCAGTCTGCTCCTCATCTTGCGCTCTTAGTTCATCGTTATGTCATACATATATATATATATATATATATATATATATAGCGCAATCTGCGTTCTCGTCCAACCTGACAGTTGGAATCCCATTTCGGGATGAGAGCATTTGGTGGAACCAGTGAACCATTCAGGTCGAATGGGACAGAGGGCTCGTAGTACCTAACTAAGTGAATCAGCAGACGGGAATATATATATATATATATATATATATATCTACGTGGCCTGGTATATATTGTCAAACAGAGATGCCCGGTAAACCATAGGCAGAGAGGGAGAAGAGGACAACAAACAATGGGCTGTGATAAACTGTTTTTCTGGATTTTTATATGTATCATCAAACAGAGATGCCCGGTAAACCGTAGGCAGAGAGGGAGAAGAGGACAACAAACTGTCTCGTTGGTAGGCAGAGAGGGAGAAGAGGACAACAAACAATGGGCTGTGACAAACTGTTTTCCCGGAGTTTTATATATATCATCAAACAGAGATGCCCGGTAAACCGTAGGCAGAGAGGGAGAAGAGGACAACAAACTGTTTCGTTGAGTCTGCAGAATCCGCTAACTGATTACACTGTAGTGATAATCCACCTTAACCATGGTTCTGGTTCAGCATCAACGGGTGCCCAACAACTGATACCCTGAGGTGCGCAGCAACCACTGCCCTTGACTGACAAAAGTCAAAGCAGACTATCACTCACCCACACCAGATGGAAAAGTCTACAGACCACTTTTTGGACTATTTTGAAGATAAAGCGGCCTCTTACAATGTCGGTCGCTTTGTCCAGCGCGAAACGCCGTTGTTGAAGAAGAGTTGCTTAGTGAGTAAACCATTCTTTTGTAACTCTTTGTGCAGGTCCTAAATTCTGATGGTTGAAAGCAGAATGGAGAGTTAGCAATTCCAGAGGTTAGTGAAGGGCAATTGAGCAAGTTGATAAAGCACGCAACAGATTATTTTGTAGCGTATATCAAAACGACTTCTGGCATCATGAAGCTCAGTGTATAAGCGGCACCTTGTTATCACGAATTCAAGATCAAAAGTTTTTGGACTTGATAGCATTTGTCATCAAACGAGAACATATATATTATATTCTGAGCGTAGCAAGATGATGCATGCTTGTGTAGATGTTGTCATGTGTTCGTCAAACACGAACTGCTCAGAAGAAACACAACTGCGGAGAGAAGAACGAGTCTGGAGGAAAGTCTTGTCGGACTCCCAATGGCGAGTCACAGAGAATGCTATCCAGGAAGCTGTTACTCAAAGAAAACCCAGTGTGTGTATATGTGTGTGTGCGTGTGGTTGAGGTTGCAGAAAGGTGGCGGGGGGTGTAGGTGCGTACATCGGTGTTTGTGCGTATGAGGAGGCGGTGGTCCGTGCAAGGGGGAGGAGGGGGGGGGGGGAGGGGGAGGAGGAGCCCGGTCATGGCTACATGGCAGCACGAGGGGCAGGAAGAGGTTGGTAACAGCTTGAAACACGGCAGCACGATGGGGAGGAAGAGGTCGCATGAGAGGGAGGGGGGGGGGAGGTTTGTGCAGCATGCATGGGTCTCTATGTGTGTGTGTGTGTGTGATCGTGGTGGATGGGGGATGGGGGCGCTTGTAGGTGCTGGTGTGTAGGTGCTGGTGTGTGTGTTTGTGTGTTTGGGCGGGGGGCGGCGGGGTGCTTGTGTGCGTGCATGTGTGTTTTTGAGGTGTGTGTATTGGATGAACAAGATGGTTAGCTCGTGCCAGAGAGTCTTGTGCATCCAGAAACACTACCATACACACGCGTGAGCAATGCAGGGTGGCTGAAGACAATATATTCCAATCAAACTGTTGGTCCGGGATCATCAGGCCCGGTAGCCTCCTAAAGACTCAAGTTCGCAGCAAAGTCTTATTTGCAAGAGAATTTTAGCAGAAGATTTGAAGCATGCAGAAAGCAAAACGGGAGCCCTGATCCATTTCCGCCTCATACTCTTTCATTGGTGGATCTCCAGTGGTATGGTGCAGAGTGATGGCAACCAGCTGATAGGATTGCTTGACGAAATGGCTGCATCTGAAAAGGAGGACGGGGTCTTGGGGGCCAAGAGGTTCAGGTGCCCAGCTGCAGCGCTGAAGAGACTCCCGTTTCCTCTTTCCTTTGGGGTAAGCAATGCTGATAGGCGGATGTGTGACGGCAGGGTACTCATTTTCCTGCTCAGTCAATCCCCTGGTTTCTGCAGATGCCTGACAGCAGGGTGAGTCGTGAGTACTCACTTTCCTGCTGGGTCAATCCCCTGGTTTCAGGGTAGTCAATGCTGGCAGGCACTTAGGCAGAAGCTAAATGGATTTTAACAGCCTCTTTCAGGGACACTTGACCCGTTCCCCGGCAGGTGTTGCTCCCCACGAGCCTGTGAAAAAAAAAGGAAGAGGAGACGGCGAGGGGAGAAGGCAAGGAGTGCTGTGCACCGTTATCATCACCATATCAGTCCTTGAAAAAGAGGTAGTTAGTGCACTGAGCGAGTGTCCTTGAGAGGGGTAGAAGCCACTTCACGAGCTCTGTAATTATGAAGTGGGCTTCACCTCTCTCTCTCTCTCTCTCTGTGGGGTAAAAGCCACTTCACGAGCGGGGTAGAAGCCACTTCACAAGCGGGGTAGAAGCCACTTCACGAGCTCTGTGATTATGAAGTGGGCTTCATCTCTCTCTCTCTCTCTCTCTCTCTCTCTCTCTCTCTCTCTCTCTGTGTGTGTCAGGTCCACTGAGCGACATAAGTGTTCCTTGTCCGTTGAGCGACACAAGTGTCCTTATCAACGTTTATGAAAAGCTTCCTATCAGAGAATACCTCCACCCTCATCATCACTGCATCAGACCTGACACACACACACACACACACACACACACACACAGAAAGAGAGAGAGGTGACGCCCACTTCATAATCACAGGGCTCCTGAAATGGCTGCTGCTCTCTCTCTAGAGGTGAAGCCCACTTCATAATCACAGAGCTCCTGAAGTGGCTGCTACTCTCTCTCTAGAGGCGAAGCCCACTTCATAATCACAGAGCTCCTGAAGTGGCTGCTACTCTCTCTCTCTCTCTCTCTCTCTCTCTCTCTCTCTCTCTCTTTGAAATGCACATATGTGCCTTCAGCAAGAAAGAGCGGGAGGGGGGCCGGGGGTAACAGGTATGCATTCACAGAGATGCATACACGGAGAGAGAGGGGCATGCAGAAGAGAGAGAGAGGTAATCTGGCAAATTTCTCAAGACGTCCATGTATATCAAGAGACACTGGTGATCATTGCCCCCAAGTTGGGGACACCCTCATAACTGTGTTTTCACACACATCTTTGTTC